CCGCCGCCCCGACGGCAGCCCCAGGGCCCCTTCCCATCGGGGAGCGAGGGGGGAGCTGGACCCGAGGAGGCGACGTGGGCTGGTTTTGCCGTGGAGACCCGGGGAGTTCACGTCGCGAACCGGAGGACCTTGTTACGGACTTGGAGCAGCAAAAGAACGGTAGCAGTCAGTAGGGGTACTTCCCAGACTCCTAGGGATCTTCTTCCAAAATAGGAACACGAATTCTGTTCTGAGAAACCCCGCGGGTGGGGTGTGCTTCGGTCTTTTCCCCAGGATACGCCCCGGAGGAACTGAAAAGCCTGATCTATGTGCCTGCATTAGTCACCCCGTGCCGGTAGTTGAATGTGCAATATTTTATCTGACCTCCATGATTTCCTGGTTTGGACAGAGCCGGGCGCATCCGAATCGAATAATGTATCCCGAGGTTACTGGACGTCACTTAACGAGTTCTAATATAAACCCACGCTCTTCCCTTTCCCCAGATGAGCATTCAGTTGTGCGTTGGAAAGAGTCTTTGCCACCACACTATCCTCTGCCCCATCACACAAGCCGAACAGGTTGCACCAAGTTTAGTTAGTTTACTTGCCCGTGTTAATTCTGACATTTAAATGTGTAATTATTGACTTCAATGGTTGAAATTTATAGCACGCACTACTTAAATACGTGGCTCTTGCTGTCAAAGTAGCACGAGAAGGAAATTGTAGCTTTAGTATGAACAAGGCTTGTGCTTTTAAATAATGTATTTGCTCAGTGAGCCTACCCCAGCTTTTTGAAACATACAAGGTAGAATAAATAATACAATTAGAAGTATAAGATGGAATGTGTTTTATTGACATCAACTTGAATCTAGAAGACATCTGGTACAGACTGTTGTTTTTAATGGGGAAATTTAGAAAATGTAACAATAAAGGAGATGCTTATGTAACGATAGGACTAAAAAATGTAAAGCAAGTGTTTAGCATTTTTGAATGAGCAAAACTGTTCTTCAAAATTGTCATTTGCCCTTTACTGAATTTGAGTGACTTCCATATATCTGCTCCAGTGTTGTTTCTGCTATGCAATTAATGTGATGAAGGCAGGTTAGAATGAATACATCTATATACTTTAACATACAAGAATTTTCCTACTTCTTACCTATACAATGTAACTTTAAGTTTTATTATTTAAATTACTGGTAATAGTTTTCCACTATATATATTTTCCTTTGTAGTCATTTCTCATTTAAGTAGCAGAGTATTAATTCAGATGGATAAAAAGTAGATTTACTTCTCTTTTTTTTCCACAGCTAGTGAAGATGTTAAAGATATCTTTGCCAGAGCAAGAAATGGAAAATACAGACTTCTGAAAATATCTATTGAAAATGGTTAGTTAAGCTTTTAAAAATATTGCTTGCCCTCTTGATAAGTGTCATATTTTAAAACTTAAAACTCTCGCTTAGTGTTTGGGCTATTAATTAATGTAAAGTAAGTTTACAGCTTGCTGTTTGTAAACCAATCAGCTTTTAAGGTAACTTGGATCCTGCACACGTTGAACAAGTTCCCATGGGTCCTTGATTTCCTTCTGCACTCTGTTTCTGACTCTCAGGGATACAGAAAGATGTTGGTTTCCAGTGTGACGTCTTTCTCTTTTACTTTTGTGTCTCCGTTTCTGCGCCACAATCCATTTCTAGTGTCAGGGCTTCCATTATCTGAATTGGAAATCAGTAAGCAGGTGATTATTTTAAAAGTTGCTTGTTAATCATAATAAAGTTAGTTTCATTAGAAAAATAAATGTTTTCAAACTCTCCCAGTTCCTTTACCTGCTTGCATCCCATCCTGTGGAAATGATTACCTTTTTATCCTGTTTTGGGAAAGTTCTAAGTATTCATCAAACTGTAGAGAGTGATTCTTTAAAAATAATTCTGGAAGCAGTGGAAATAGTCAGAGGAGAGCATCTTTTAATGCTAAGAACTTAAGATTTGAATTTGAATAATTTATATTGTAGCTACTTGATCACCAAAAAAAAAACCCCAAATGAACTCACTGCCATCAATTCGATGCTGACTCATAGAGACTATAGGACAGGGTAGAACTGCTCCTGTGGGTTTCTGAGACTGTAACTATTTATGGGAGTAGAACGCCTCCTCTTTCCCTCCAGGAACACCTGATGGCTTCAAACTGCTGTATATTAAAATATGCTGTTGGTATATTTCATTAAGTACCATAAAATACTTTTGCTTTGGAAAAGTAACTTGTTCTTTCAGAAACTGGAAGTGAATCTAATTTGCCTTCATGTTTTTGCTTACCAGTATATGTTAAAAGTATCAGGTATAGCTTGTAATTTTTGAAATAAATACCATTTATTTTAAAAAGTGTAGTTTAGAAAAATAAAGAAGAAACATTAAAGACCCAATTCAAAGAGTGCTAATTTCTATTTTATGCCTTTTTAGCTAACTAGCAATCTTTAAGGAAGTAAAATGCCACTGTCTCCCAAACTATTGTTTTCTAGTTTTGTGGGTTGTTTTTTTAATGTCTTTTTTTCCTTATTTCTTAAATAAGAAAACTATAGTGAATAAATAATACAGCAAATATCCATATATCCTTTTTAATAATATCCTTTTTAATAATACAACAAATATCCAGATATCCTTTTAAAATTAATTATAGCTGCTTCTTATCATACCTGCTTCAAGGCCTTTTAAAAAGAGTGTTTTCAGAAATTAACCAATTTCCTTTCTTGACCTCCTTTCCCCGAGGTAACTAAATTAGAAGTTTTAATTTTTTTTGTTTTACTTTCATGTCTCCATAAGTAGCATATAGTGTTGTTTTAAGTTGTTAAAGTTTACATAACTTGCGTAATGCCATCTTATTCTGAATCTTTCCTTTTTGTCTAAATGTTACTTTTGAAATAAGTTTTTTAAATTATTTTTGAAATTTTCAATGGCGAGTTCATTCTTTATAAATATGAATAGAATTTTATCATGACATTTATTATTTATCCATTCCATTCCCTTACTTTTGAACATTTGGCTATTACCACTTTTCACTATTATTATACAATGCTGCACATATGTGCAACAGATTATGCAGTGTATTTGCAGTTGTATTAGATTATGAGAAATAACTCTTCCAAGTGACTGTATCATCATATGCCGCTACACAATATTTTAATATGTAACCTAGCCCAAGAGAAGCTAGACCTGTTTATAATTCATATTTCTTACTGTACAGATCAATATGAATTTCAAAGATTATACCTTTGAGTGGTAATATATCTTATTTAAATATCATGTTGAAAATTGTTGTATAGATATTTTAGAAAGTGAAAATAAAATCGCTCATTATTTGGCCAGCCGACTGAACTAGGGAGATCATTTTGTATATTCCTTTAGCGTACTTATCTATACATTTGACAATTCATATACCTTTACAACTGGTTCTACTATTTTATGCATTTTCGGTTACTTTCTCTTTAAAAATTTTTTTGTTGCCACCTTTTTTCTTTCAACTCTTAATAGTAATAATAATTTGCAAAAACTTTAAATTTGTAGTTCTTTTCAGTACATTGTCATTTGGGATTTCAAACTATTCATGAGCCTTTAAAAAAATTACTCTTCATAGAGCAGCTTGTGATTGGATCATGTAGCCGACCTTCAGACTCGTGGGATAAGGATTATGATTTCTTGGTTCTCCCCCTGCTGGAGGAAAAGCAGCCGTGCTACATACTATTCAGGCTCGACTCTCAGAATGCCCAGGGATATGAATGGATATTCATTGCATGGTCTCCAGACCATTCTCATGTAAGTAAGTTTTTGTAATTCACTGATGTGATTTTTTTCCCAAAAAGGGCCCTAGGCCAAAAGAATATTAAGCAGTAGTCATTTCCCATAGAAGGAATAATCATGAGTGGGGGAAATCTATGAGTTGGTTAATGTGGAATCAGGGGTAGTGTGACAAGATTTAGAAGTTTTGCCTTAGAAATAAAATAATTGTTGATTTTAAATTTTAAAACCTGTGTCAACATTAAGTGACTCTGTGGACCTTCTTTAAAATAGGCAACTCTGAGATTAATAATTGTGACAATTGAGAGCTACTTGCACATCATATTAAATATTGTTAATATAACGTAGTATTGAAACTATCATACAAGTAATGACCATGAAATACATGTACTTATTTTAAAAACTTGGTTCATAGATTGATTAGTACACTGAAACTGTATTGATGGGATTTTGACCATTATTTTAGAGTAATCCTGTGTTTCTTATAGAAAAATAGTATCTAGATGTCCTGCTCAAAGGGTTATCCCATTCTCCTTAGTTCCTCACATCCTGTCTGAAAGAAATACCGTGTTTGCCTCTGAAGGATTATGAAATTGTTTCTATGAATAGTTAATTGTCTTTAGTAGTTCTCTGCAGGTGCTAGTAGACTATGTAATAATGGCATATTTCATATTTCTTTTTATCTGTATGTCACTTGTAGAATGGTATGTGCTGTAAGTACACTAGGATATCCTATGTAATATCCTATTTAAATATCCTAGGATATCCTATTTAAATATCCTACTTAAAGAATATCTGGGTTTACATTGAGTAAATTTACAGTATCTAGTTTACGTCATTTCAGTGATTTTCCCCCCTCATATTTTAAAGTAGTTTTTAATTTGGGGGCTCATTTTATATATTGAAAAATGAGGATTTAAAAAAATTAGCATTTCCCCCTTTTTGAAAAGTAGGGCTTGTACTATAAATTGAAATCTGCTTTAATAGCCAGTGATATAACTACTGAGGTACTCATTTTATGATTACTTGTACACACGTTTCAGCATATCAGTCAGTGGGTTTTAATTTTTCAGTTTGTGTTTATGCGCTTGAAGCTTTTAATAAATTCAGAAATTTCTTTGTTTACATGTATATATTTTCATCTATACACATAAGTGAACTTTTACAACCATAGGTTCGTCAGAAAATGTTATATGCAGCCACGAGAGCAACTCTGAAAAAGGAGTTTGGAGGCGGCCACATTAAAGATGAAGTATTTGGAACAGTAAAGGTAAAAACTGATAGCTATTTGGATTCTGTATGCTGCCATGATTTTAAAGAGGAATTCTTAGGTGATGGGTAAATGATGAATAACACGAAGTCAGATTAATCTGTAACAATAAGATAAAATGTTGTTCAACATGATATGAAAAGCTAATGTAGATTTGATTTTATTGATTTGTTGCTATATGACAGTGATATCAAAAATTTACTTTGCTTTTTGAATTATGTTGACATATTCTTTGTTAATCTATAGATGATAAGCTTCAAAAACCAAGACACACATTACATACAGGTCATTTCGTTCAACCCTCTTAACTAGTTCAAAGAGCCCATTTAAAGGAATGGGGTGATGAACTCAGAAAAGTGAGAGGCTACTTGAAAGAAGGCAGTGTTTTTATAGGGATATTGAACATTTATTCCCATAGTCTAGAAGCAGTAGCTGTATTACTTAAGCCAAAATATTGAGGCAGGTAAATTAATGAGTAAATTTAATTGATAAAATAATTAAGTGAGCTAATTAGCCAATTAAGCAATATAAATAAAGACCCTGCCAAAACTATGTGGTAAATATGTTATTTATGCATACACACTCAAGAAACATGAAATGTATTTTTGAGCAGTGGCAGTTTGTTTCAAAATTGTGTGTTAGTTCATAAGGCAATACGATCTAGTGACTAGAGGACAAGGCCTGACGGGTGTACACTACTTGTTCACCCTGATCGACTCACTTCTATGAGTGTTGGTCTTCCGCATCACAGTTAGGGTGATAGTAGGCCCCTTTGGAATGATTTTTTTTTTACTATAAGAACTGTAATAATCTTGAATGACTAATTGAAGAAAATGGCTTAGGCTATTATAGAATTCACAATCAGACTCTGTTGATGATGTGAATAATGCTAAGTTAGGCTTCCCTAAGAAGTCTATAGACTTGACACCACCACCAACTGTACAGAAATGGTTTAATCCTTGTAAAACTTGAGTGGATATAGTTCATAAAGTGCTTGGAAATCCAACAAAGCCCACATGGAAGAAGCACACCAGCCTATGCAACCACGAGGTGTCGAAGGGATCAGGTGTAAGGCATCATCACAACAAAAAATCTTACCATAGTGAATGATGGGGGGAGTGCGGAGTGGAGATCCAAAGCCCATTAGTAGGCCACTGGAGATCCCCTTGCAGAGGGGTCTCGGGGAGGAGATGAGCCAGTCAGGGTGCGATGTAACAATGATGAGAAATACAATCTTCCTCTAGTTCCTAAAGGTTTCCTCCCCGCTCCCACTACCATGACTCGAATTCTATCTTGCAAGACTGGCTAGACCAGAGGAGGTACACTGGTACAGATAGGAACTGAAAATACAGGGGATCCAGGACGGATGAGCCCTATAGGACCAGTGGTGTGAGTGGCAAAACAGGGAGGGTAAAGGGAGAATGGGTAGGAAAGAGGGAACCGATTACATGGAACTGTGTGTGACCTCCTCCCTGGGGGACAGACAACCGAAAAGTGGATGAAGGGAGACGTCGGACAGGGCAAGATATGACAAAATACCATTTATAAACTATCAAGGGCTCGTGCGGGAGGGGGGAGCGGGGAGGGAGGGGGAAAATGAGGACCTAATGTCGGGGGTTTAAATGGAGAGAAAATGTTTTGAGAAACGATGTACAAATGCGCTTTACACAATTGATGTGTGTATGGATTGGGATAACAGTTGTGTGAGCCCCTAATAAAATGTTAAAAAAGAAAAAAAAAAGTGCTTGGAAATCAACAAAATAGGAAGTGAAAGCAAGACAAAGCTGATAGACGTCTTAAAGTCCCTTCACGAGGTTTACTTGCAGACAATAGCAGACTGATAGCAGACTGTTTCTGTGCTTACAGGAAGATGTATCACTACATGGATATAAAAAACATTTGCTATCACAGTCATCCCCTGCCCCGTTGACTGCGGCTGAAGAAGAATTACGACAGATTAAAATTAATGAGGTAAATTACAGCTTTGAAACAGAAGATGTTATGTAGTCTTTGAAAATAAAATGAATGGATGTTTATAGTTAACTAGAGGATAAAGGAGTGAGTCAAGGAGCTTAGGGTTATTATATTTAGGTTGGAAATAAGACTGCTTAATGTGTTTTCTGGGGGGCAGGTGGAAGATGAATTAAAATAGAACATTAAGCGTCATATCAGTTTCATAAATAGGGTCCTCTGTATATTGTATGTGTCAGAACAATAAATCTTCTACTGGAAAGTTAATATACTTTGAAAAAACAGTAGGGAAATGCTGCCCATATGCTGTAAAGAATACCTGTATCTATTAAGGTCATTTGAAGGAGGTTATTATGCTATTTCAGAGGCAAGTGTGACTGAAGAGAGGAAAAGAAATGCTGTAGGATATGTAGACAAATGTGCAGGATATGTAGAAAATACAGAAATGAGCATCAGTGAATACTGCTTGACGGAAAAATATATGTATAATGGTTATTTGAGTTCTTAACAGATGATAGTCAGTACATTTGAGCCTTATTTTAGTTTACCATATTTTCAACTATCTAGTTATGAGTCAGAATAGCTACTGTACTTTGAGATTTTATCAAAAACAAGTAGCAGGAACCACTAATAAAGGAAATTAGTCTGGACAGTGGCAGAGGAAATTTTCTTAGTATTAGCCTGGTAGCAAGGATCTCTCATATTATTTTAACTCAACTTATTTGAGTAGAATTTTTTTATGGATATTTTTACAAGCTTGATAGTTTGTTTTATTCTTTGCAATCAGAACCCAGAGGATCATATTGGGGTATGCATTTGCATATATTCTATGATGTTTCATTATCAAATATCATTTATGCTGTAGAATCTCCATTCATTTTTTTAAAATTAAAATTGTATTTGACGTTCTGTTGCAACACTACAAATGAGCCACTGTAGTAGCTATCATTTCCCAAATGTTTACAAATCTTAAACTTGTACATTGGAAAGCTTTCTTGAAGTATCCTCCCCCCTTCCAGTAAATGTGCACTATGTCCATAGTAAAGAAAGCTCTATGTGTGGAACTTCTGCAGTACTATGACTTGTTCAGCTGCATTGTGTCTTTTGTATACTGTTTGTATTTCTTTCAATTCAGTGCATGGTGTTTGTGTTGCCTTCTGTGTTCAAAAGAACAAAAGAAAGCTACATACAATATTGTATGTATCACACTGTTCATCAATTTTTATCAAGTTTTGTAATTAGTGCTGTAATCTGATAACACTTTAAAGAACTACTACATCTCACTGGAATTTTACCAAAACAAAACATAGACATAAACAAAACTCCCATACCCCACTCCCATCGCATACTCATTTAAGCCTTCCCTCCGAACGCTTCATGAAGATATGTCATCATGTACTCTGCATGCTGACAGAGTGCTAGCAGCAGGCCCATGAACAAGTGTGAAAGGGAATTTGTTTTTTAAGGTCATAGTATTTGAAGCGCTTTTAAGTATAGGTTGGGCAAGTGTTTAAATGACATTTACTTTGTACAGATTACGTTTTCTTATCTCTGCCGTATGACCCCAGTACGTGCTAAAACCTGACCAGTAAATTAAATGTCCTTTCATATTTAGGTACAAACTGATGTGAGCGTGGACACTAAGCATCAAACACTACAAGGAGTCGCATTCCCTATTTCTCGAGAAGCTTTTCAGGCTTTGAAACAATTGAGTAACAGACAGCTCAACTATGTGCAGTTGGTAAGAGACCTGCAGTGATTACTTTGAAATATCTATTCTTATTGTTGGGATCCCTGTAACATGGTGGGTTACACGTTGGGTTGCTCACCGTAAGGTCAGCAGTTCGAAACCACCAGCCACCCCAAGGGAGAAACATGAGGCTTTCCGTTCCGGTAAAGAGTTACAGTCTTGGAAACCCACAGGAGCAGTTTATGCTTTCCTATAGGATCACGACGAGTCAACATTGACTTGCTGACAGTGAGTTTTGTTTTCTTGCTTTTTTTAAACTATGACTTAATGTAAGGTTTATTTTTAACCAATATTGCTGGGTTTTGATTTTTTTTTTTAATTGCAAAATCAATGTGTTCTTGGAAAAAACAGTGTGCTCACATTCTATAGAATTCCTTATCTCATTTACATGTTTAGATTGTGAAAGTGAATGTATATATCTCTTTTAATGAATATTTTCTTTCATCGACAGGAAATAGATATAAAAAATGAAATTATAATTTTGGCCAACACTACAAATACAGAACTGAAAGATTTGCCAAAGAGGATTCCCAAGGATTCGGCACGTTACCATTTCTTTCTGTATAAGCATTCTCATGAAGGAGACTATTTGGAGTCCATAGGTAGGTGAAGCTTTGCTTTTCACGTGAGTCTTTCAGGGTACTGATTGGTATTTCGGAACTATCTCCTGACTGATTTCTTGCCCAGAGGGCTTAGATGTTGTATAGATGCTTAATGTTTGCTTTAATTGATGGACTGCTAATTTTATTTACTATTTTAATTTACAGTGTTTATTTATTCAATGCCTGGCTACACATGCAGCATAAGAGAGCGGATGCTGTATTCTAGCTGCAAGAGTCCGCTGCTAGAAATTGTAGAACGACAACTACAAATGGAAGTGATTCGAAAGGTAGACCTAGCTTATTTATTTTAAACTTCTATTTGTGCTAGACTTTTCTTGTCTTTTCTATTTAGCTTACACTGTATCGTGACTTATAAACAAAACTACTCTAGGTAGCTGGGAATGACCAGCCTTGACCTCGATCTCCCTGTAGACATGGTAGATATGAGCCACATCTGGTTATTTAGATCAAAATTAAGTAACATTGTAAAGCCAGTCCTGTAATTGTACTGGTGCCATTTCAATCCAGGGGCCACTATTGGACTGTGCAGAACAGTTTCATTATTACACAACGTTCTGTTGCACAGGGCTACCAGAGTTGCACACAAATGCTTATTTCTGGACTTCTCTGTTAGTAAGGACCTCAGATCTTCATTTATCATTCCGAGAATTATGGGATGGTTGGGAGTCTTCTCGGTAGGGGGCTGGGGTGGGCATAAACTTTACATGGGGCATGGCAAAGACTAAGATTTACTCTTACCCCATTTAATGCTTAGTGCCACTAGTTTGAGTCTTGCAACCTTGAAGCTTTTGAAGGTCCCCAGACTCTCCTTCCCATGACCACTTATAGCAGTGACCTGCTGACTTTTTCTACAAAGGACCCGATAATAAATATTGTGGGTCTTGCCAGAAACCACATGTGGTCTATTGCATTCTTCTTTGTTGTTTTTTTAAACAATACTTAGAGAATGTAAAAAATATTCTGCGTTTGGGCTGAATTTAGCTCACAGGTTTGCTGATCCCTCTTATAGTGCTTTCAGGTGGTGAAGAGGCCATGTGGCATGCTTCTTGAATATATCCCCTAAAACCCTTACCCCAGTGCCGTTGAGTTGATCCCAATTCCTACCAACCCTATTGGACCAGGGTAGAACTATCCCATAGGGTTTCTAAGGCTGTAAATCTTTGTGAAGTAGACTGCCACATCATTCCTCAGAGGAGCAGCTGGTGGATTTGAATTGCTGACCTTTCAGCTTGTAGCTGGATGCTTTAATCACTGTACCACCAGAGCCGCAGCTGATTTGCCATAAGGCAGAGGTCAGATGTGCCTCCACCTTCCATCCAGCGCCCTATCCTGACACCGACTGCTCCTCCTACAACACACTCCTTTTTCTGACGGCTAAGATTATTCGTTGCAATGACCACACAGAACTCACAATGATGGGGGTAGATTAAGAGAAGTTAACGTGTTACCACAAGTTGGGAGCAGTGCACAGTAAGGATTCAGCCATTAGTTCATAGCAGTACCCCTCCTCAGCCAGCACCCAAGTGTATTTCTCTGGTCGTCTGCTCTTGGCCACCTGTCTTTGCTTTTGCCTCTGTGGGACAAGAAGTCCACCTGCTGCTGGACCTCACTGTCTCATAGTACAGCACTGTGCCACTGCTGCTCTGGTTTTGGCCTGCCTCTTTTACTGTGCCCCCTGCTCTCTGTGCTTCAGGTCTCAGCCTCTGATGCTTGCTTCTAATCCTTGATGGTTCTGAGATGTCTCTGTATTCCTGCTTCTGAGACAGCTCATCCTTATAGCTAGGGGCATGACAACTGAAACTGACAATCCCCTCTATTAATAGAGTTACCTTTGTCTTACTTGCAATAGTCCCACCCAGTCACTTGGTGGAAGGTATAGACACTTGGGTAGAAGAGCGTATTAAGAAATTTCACTTCACCACAGCTCCTTGAATATTACCCAAGGGTAAAATGATGGGTTGGAGCAGCAGACCTCCTTCCCCTTTGTAAAGGGGGGAATGAACACCAGCATCGGCCTAAGGCTGATTGCTGTGGTCAACGAGACCTCCAACTTTTTCACCATTTCTGACTTCAGCTGTGCCTCCCACAGCATATTACGGTACTGTGTTGTGTTTGGTAATTTGCTATAGTACCAGAACTCAGCCCATTGTCTAGATTGTGGAGTTTATTTTAGTACCAGGTTGCAATTCAAGATCAGAAACAACTTGGATATAGTTCTTTGATCAGGACAGCTTCTTCTCAGCCCCCTCCATTGTTTGGACAAGTGTCACACAGCTCATCCTCTTTACAAATAAGTTCCCAGAGGTGCCCCACTTGGTCAGTAAGGCTTTTGTCTGAAGGCACTCAACTCTCTTGTTCAAAGGGTCAGTACACCTACTGTCGCCACCTTGCTCTGTAGACTGGAAAGTCAACCGCATCATCTCATGCTGGTCTGGTTCTGCCCTTGCTGTTTCCATGCTACCATTTCTTACTATCTCAAGCCTTCTCCAGTGTTACAGCTCCCTATGTGTCCTGGGTCTATGAAGTTCCAGCACTGGGACCCCTGGCCCAAAGGAAGTGCTGCACTCTTGGTTTTTCTTCAGATGGTGACAGCCCTCTTTCTGCCTCTGGGTTGGCTCATTTTTAAACCTAGCAGGATGACAAAACTGACCAATCAATTGTTAGAGCTCCATGCTCTTGATTTGCATTGTTAATAAGCTGCCTTGTCCCCTTTTGGGACCACAAGCTTCTTACTCTACTCATTTGGTTGGAGTTACAAGGCCATGGCCAGAAAGGCCCTATAAAAATGATCAGTTGCATTGCACTGATTAAGTTAAAAATACACCGATGAAAGATGGCTTTTACTTTTAAAGATGAGCTGTTGATCTGTTCAAGCATCTCTTATAGCCCTCATCCTTCCAGGAATGGAAGGGGAAAAAAATGAAACTACGTAGATATGGTACTGAATTTTTATTTCTGAAATTGGTATAGTATACTTATTTATGACCATTCTTATTTCACATCTGAAAATTGACTTGGGACATGTACTAGGGTCTGAATATTGTGCTTCAAGAAAGTGCATTACACTATTCATCTCTTTCACAGATCGAGATAGATAATGGGGATGAATTGACTGCAGACTTCCTCTATGAAGAAGTACACCCCAAGCAGCATGCACATAAGCAAAGCTTTGCGAAACCAAAAGGCCCTGCAGGAAAAAGAGGAATTCGAAGACTTATTAGGGGTCCAGCTGAAGCTGAAGCCACTACTGATTGAAATGCTTCCATGAAAACATTACCAAGCTGGTTTTTTAAAAGTCCAGCGTTTAGTACAGGAGAACTGAAATCATTCCATGTTGATACATAGTAGAGGAAAACAAATCGTCATTTTTAAAAGCTAGCACTTTTCACATCTGTGTGTTTTTAAGATTACTGTTATAGATGACTCATGATTTCTATTTTATGTTAAAACTAGAAAAGGGTTCAACATAATATGTCTGATTCTGGCACACTGTTTTCATTGAGTGATGATTCCACGCTTTCACATAATTCTCAAAGATTTTGTAGTTGGGCTAATATCCCAAAGTTTACTGTCTCAAAGTAGCAAACAATTTACTCTTTCGTGAGACATTTGAATTTTCTTTTTTCCTTATGAGTGAGAAATACCTTAAAATATGTTAAGGACCAGTTTGGATTACGTCTTTTTGAAGATGAAATTGAGTGTGCCTAGGCAAAGGTGGAACGTTGCTTATTCTGAGGAATAGGCTGTCAAACCGCTATCATGTCTGCCACTTTCAGATACATAGTGTGTTATTGCAGCAGTGTTTGCTATATGCCTTTTTGTTTTTAAAAGCGTTGCAACTTTAGAAGATAAGCTCATCCTTCCACCTTACCGGTACCTAACCCATTGCTCTCAAGTAGTTCTGACTCGTAGAGACCCTTTAGGAGAGAGGAGAGCTGCTGCCTCATAGGGTTTCCGGGACTGTAAATCTTTCAGAAAGCAGATTCTGTATCTATCTTCCACGGAGTGGGTGGATTTGAACCACTAGCCTTTCGGTTGGCAGCCAAAGTGCTTTAGTGGCTCCACAAGAGCTCCTCTCTATTGAACCTAAGGGTACCAGCCACTTTCTACAGGATTTCTGATGGCATTGAAAGACATGTTTAAATAGCCTTAGTAAATTCTCTCAAGTGCATTGAAAAACATTCCATTTTAAAAAGTAAACCATTGCATTTTAAGTACCTTGAGGCCAAATTTCCGTTCATACTGAATATTAAACTCATTCAAAAGCAAGCAAAACTAGCCAAAAATGTTAGTTTTAAATATTAGTTTTTTTCCCTCCAAAGCCATTGTTTTATTGGACATCATGTTCTTGCTATCACTTAAGCAGATATTCAGATTTAATAACATTTTAAAATCAGTATTTGGTGGCCGAAACCAAAAACATGGCTTATGAATTTTGCTTCAGTTTATATCTTATTTCAAAACACATTTTGACCCTTGCTAAAGCTCTGTGTTGTTGGTTATAAGTTAGAGACAGTTGAGCCTCATTTTTCTTCGATACTTGAAATAGAGGGAGCTAGAACACTTCATCATGTTTAACCCGGTAAACCTGCTGCAAGAGCCAGAACTTTGAATAGTTGTTTTCTAAATGAACTGAGTGGGGGCGGGGGGTGGGGGGGCAGGATTTAGAATTTTTTGATCTAAACTTGATGCTGCATAAAACACTGATCAGAAATGCACATTTCATAGTATGAAATATGAAGCACTCATTCCTAAACCTTACTAAGGTAATATATGCACCTTTGAGAAATCCCGTGTGTGTTCAAGTAAGCAAAGCGTTAGAATAATGGATTGACAGATTTTTTTTAAGTAGAATTAGAATGTCTGTGTGAGGTTTTGTTTACAAATAATCAAACTCTGATGTTTAAACATGCAAAGTAATCGACAGCCACGTCACACTTGTTTACTACCTGCGTGCTTGTTCCATGGGTGCATAGAGGCGCACGTACACACAGGTTACCACGCTGGGAACCTCGGAGCTCCATTGCAGATCGCACCTGCAGCTTACTCTTCTCAGTAAGGAAGAATGTTAACCCATTATGATGGTATAAGAGAACTCAGTAATGGATGTTTTTCTGTTACCATCCATGTGCAATTTACTCTTAAATTCCACTACACTAAATGGAAGTAAATGGACATTCCAGAATATAGATATGATTATATAATCTTAAACTAATTATTAAACCGGAGATTGCTGGAAATCAGTGATGCATTTGTTATAGGGTCTAACTCATCGTTTACAGTATGTTTTAGGTGGCATCAGAACAATAGATGGTGAATAAAATATTCCCAATAAATTTATATAGCAGTGAAGAATCACATGCCTTCTGTGTACATTTTATAAGTGCATTTTATATCACAATAAAATTTTTTTCTCTTTAAGTTTTATATGTTCCAATTGGTTTTCTACTAGGACTTTGTTTTTTGGTATTTTTAATGTTTGGGAAATTATGCATAATTCAATATGCATTGATAAGTTTGAAATCCCATTCGTTTATTGGCATTAAGTCAAAAAAAGATTTTAAGTATTTTATTATTTATATGTATGTGCATGTATATACATTAGAAACCTGAGCCAAAGCAAGAATAGTTATGACAATATAGTGCTTAATTTAGATGAGAGCTTTCTTACTATAACAGTAATAAAAATAGTAAGCATTACATAATTCTACTCTAGCAGAAGCTCTCCAGTATGATAGCAGGGACCACGGAAAATTCTTAAGACACCCATCTAAAAAGTACTGAATGGATTCCTACTTAAAAGGCTGAAGAGTTAAATTAGCATTTTAAGCTGTCTCAGGTATTTCTACACCCAACTAGTTGTACTTGAAGTTAGCACTGTATGTAATTGGGTACATGTCTTTTCGCACATCTTTGTATACACAGGCATGCATTATAAGAATGGGAGCGTCTAGAAGCAGCTACAGCTAAGAAGCTGTCAGTAGAGGCAGAATTTATAGTTCAAAGGTCAACCAAAGGTGGAGCTCTGGTAAACCCTGTACATTTTGGCCAAGCATCCTGAAAAGAAAAGGATCAATAGGATGTAAAATAGATTGCCAGACTGAATTAATAAAAAAATAGAACTAGAGCTATTTGCTGGAGATTTAAGACAAAGGCTGAAGTCATTTGCCATGTAAACACTAACCCACAGAAAGGCGATCTATCAAGTAGCTTTTAAGTTAGAAGGCATTAAGAGGTAAATCTGGATACACCGCCATGATAAAAATTCAGTTGACCAAGGAGTTACAACACATTTAGAAGCAAAGTTTAACAAGGTCAAAGGGTATTTCATAAACCGAAAGATGGGATGGGAAATTTTGAAAACAGTAATAATAAAGAAGATAAACAGTAAAGTTATAGAACATTTGAACAGAACAATTAACTTTGACCTATAGAATATATAAAACCACAGGCAACCGTTTCCAAGTACACACGAACATTAAAATTGTGTATATTCTGGGCTACAGGCAGAGCTGACATGGCAGGATATGGACCCTAGAGTGCCACTGAGAGAAATGAATGTTTGCTAGGAAATTCTGCAGAGAAGTTTAAAAGTATACTTCTAAATAAGCCTTGTAATGAAGTCACAATGAAAATGAGAACACTGAATTCGCTGATGTAAAAAAGGGATTATCAAAACAGGATTGCGAAGGAGGCGATCAACAAACCCAGGGACAAGGGAAGAACAATAAAATGATTTTTTTAAAAAACCAAACTTGAAATCAGCTAAAATCACATTTTAAAAACCCGAAATTATATAAACCGGAAAAAGACTACAAACTAGGAATTCAATCTCCAGACGTTAGTAAAAGAACAACAAAATAAGAAAATAAAGGACCGGATAAGAGTAGAAATTGGTGAAATAGAACTGAAATATACACGATAATTGATAAAAGTCCAAAGCTTGTTCTTTGGGGAGGGACTCAGGAAGCCCTGGTGAGGCACGGTGAGAGACAAACGAGGATGACAGTGGGCAGAGACTGAACCCACAGATCAGCGATGGAAAAAGGGGACATCATTTTAAATACCATGCCACTCATAAGAAGGTACAAGCAATTTGACAACAAATTGGGACATTTGGGTGAAACACATTCTTAAGCCATAACCATATATAAACATTTTAAATCTGAAACAACCTATAATTATTAAAGGACTTGAAGCTGTAATTCAAAACGTTCCCACAGAGAGAACCTCCAACCCAGAAGGGAATTTTACTTAACAAGTAAAAACAATTTTACACAGAATATTTCAGAGAATAAAGAGGGACGAAGCCAGCATAACCTTGAGAGCAATCCTGGCAAGGACTTGGCACAAAATATTGTAGGACAATCTTTCTCAGGTACACGGACCCCCATGGATACCATCCACCATTTGAATCCAATAGTTTATTTTTAAAAGAATATGGCACAATCTAGTTTGCTATTTCCCCCAGAAAAAGTTGGTCTAACATTCAAAAAGTAACCAGTATGTTTCAGCAATGTGAAAAATGCATGGGGGTGGGGAGTCGGGAGCATCTGTCCTCCCAACTTCACAAGTGGGAATGAGAACTGGAAGCACTAGTCCAAGGTTGGTGGTTAGAGGCAGAGATCAGATATGCTGCCAATCTTCAGCTGTTTAACCAATTCTGGTGCCAAAATATCCTTCCCACAGCACTTCTGTTTGGTTTTTAATTTTCACTGTACAGGTCACACAGAACTCACACACAATACGTAAAATTATGGAGCTCAGGAGGGAAGTAGTAAGTTCCAATTCAGGTTCAGGAATGACTGGAGAAACAATTCTTCCATTAGAACAGACTCTTCTCAACTTTGGCAGCAGGCATGCCTCTTTCGTGGGCTTTTCTAGTCACCCAGCCCCTTGGACCCTAACCTGCTTGGGCACGCATTACAAAGCTCTCTTAGTTCTGCCTATTAGGTGTCCAGAGTCACCCCATTCTACCAGCAAGCCTCTTACCCGAAGGTCCCCAGCTGTCTTGCTCCCAGACGAAGAAGCTCTCTGCCCTCTGTCATGCCAATGTCTTAGTTCTGCTGCTGCCCTTAGTTCTCCCGGGGTCGAGTGCCACAGCTTTTTCTCCTGATCAAGGAGGTTGGAGGACATTCCTGTCCCTTCTTTCTTGATGGTAATGAGATCCCCCTTTCTGCTCTGGGGCGCCTCATTTTAAGTCTTGAGGGATGGCAAAACTAACCAATTCCCGGTCCCACCCCCATAAGTGTATCACTTCCCTTATTTACATCATTAGTAGCTAGCCAATCTCCTAAGTGGATCCCAAGCACCTCACATTTGATGGGAGATAACTATAGCTGGAAGGGTCATATTCATTCACTGCACCATAACAACTACATTAATAGAATATAGGAGAGAAATCGTGGTCATTTCAAAAGGTGAAGATTAACCTTGGGAAAGAATCAACATTCACTTGCAATTAAAAAATAACTAGGAGAATATGTGATGTAATCTGGAACTTAGCATTTCTTCCACCCAGAACAGTTGTAGAAAGTTAATGATAGACTATTTATTATTCTTAGCTCGCTGCTGACCCAAAGAACTTCTGATAAAATATTCTACAAGTAAAGCTTCCTTCCAGTTTTTCCGTTGTCTAAGTTGCAGTACATTTTAGACATTCCCTGAGATGGCTCATCAGTGGTCCTTGTTTCACTGGGTATTCCAAGTCTTCGTAGCCAGGCGAATCTCTCTAACTCTACAATTTATTTTCCACAGCTCGTCACACTACTTGCTATTATTTGTACATTATCTCCATCTGAAAGACTTTCTCTTGAAAACAACCTCTTGAGAGCAAGTTGCGTTCATTACGATAGTCTTACTTTTAGAAATATGTGGCCAATAGAAAATAATGAATAAACCCATGTTGAATTAATTTTTTAAGTGAGAGCATTTCATAACTTTCCTAATTTCATCAGAGAAATGGCAGTTTAGCATTCTCTTTGGAGATTAATTACTGTTGCCTCCCTATTGACTACCTTTGAGACTGAAATTTTAATTATTCAGACACCCGAGGCAGTCTACTTCTGTAAAGATTTACAGCTGTGGCAACCCTATGGACAGTTCTACTCTGTCCTACAGCATCGCTATTGCACTGCTGGGAATCAGAATCTACTCTCTGGTAGTAGATTCGGTTTGGTTTGGGGTTGTCACTCCTCTTGTAGTGGAATAGTGCATACACAAAAGGATAATGAATACCTGAGGTGGTGAATGGCTGCATCATCTGGACACCTCACTCAATGCTGCAAAAGGTATTTCTTAATCATTGTGTTGCAAGTGTAAAGGAAAATATTCACTAATGGTTCAGAATACTTGCTTGTTCCTCACAGCGCATGTTAAGTTGAAAACAAACGAAACCACTCTCGAGTTAACGCATTTTAATAGGCCAACTAGAAAACCAATGGGTCAGAAATATGGGGAGAGAGTCGTTCTTTCTGGAAACAGGTATGCAGGTGGTTCTTAATCACGTTTTCGTGACTCATTGGTTTGTCACAGTTGTTAGGGAAAACATTAAATAACGCATCCAATTTTTCAAGAACGCTGACAAAAGCTTTAAAAAAGTAATCATGTTAAATGTGTTTTTGTTTCTATTAAGATTAAACCAATTGCCATTGATTTGGTTCTGACTTTTAGCAACCCCATATGTGGAGAAACATATTCCATGTGAAGTTAAACAAACAAAAAATCCCATCGGCTGTGTCTAAAAACCCACTGCCACTGAATAGCTTCCACCCCATAGTGACCTTGTAAGATGGAGTAGAACTACGCTCTGTGGTTTCCCAGGCGAAAATCTCTAAGGGACTAATCGCCCCATCTCTCCCCTGGAGCACCATGCTAGCTCTGAGCTAGCAGCTCAATATGTGACCCACGGGGCTACCAGGGCTCTTTTTATGCCATAACAGACTATCCATTTCTGCCTTGAAGGAATTAGGAAACGGGACCTGGACTGATTATGACTTTGTGTCAGTCTTTGTGTAAGTGATGTTGTAGGGTGAGCCAAGTACAACCCTCTCTCATTTCTATAGTTATGTGGCTCACACAAGTTCAGGAGTCCCTGCCATATCAGCCACCACCGAGCCAAGGAAGTTACAGTGCTGCTTATACCTGTCTTGGCACCTTGAATTCACAACTTCAGAAGACTCAAGGACAAGACTTGTGCTAGTAATGAAGAATGGTGAAAAGAGCTCCTTTTATGTGGCCAATTATTGGGGTTCTTAGGAAAAGGTTTGAGGCTTTTCCCTCCCTACGTCCTGAGGAGTTACCTTGGCTTCAGTCTTCCATACTTGAGGGTTTGTTAGTTTTGTCCAACTGACATGTCCTAGATAAAATGTCAACAACGTTATTGGAGATGGTCTGGCCTGGACTGCAGACTTAGCCTGGGATTGGTATGCATCGCGTAGGAACTGACAAAGAACCTATGCAAATGAGGTACGTTGGAGCTTAGCTCCAGCTACTATGCAAATGAAGTGTCTGGGACCTAACAAGCCGGGGTAGAGAGAGGACTGGTCAGTTTCTGACTTTGTTGGGAGGACGGTGCCCTGAAACTGATGAGGATTTTGAGGCCGTAAGTCATAAGACCCATGACAGTTCTTCAGATGGCAAGCAGCAGGAAGAGACATAGCTGGGGAAGGAGAGACAAGGAACAAAGACAAAGGTGAGGAAAGGAAAGGCAAAGATGGCGAGGCTCTGTCTCTCGTTCTTTGGCAGGTTATCAGGAGAGACCAGTCTCGAAAAGGGCATCATGGCATTATAGACGGCCAGTAAAAGGATCTAGACAAGATGGACTGACACAGGGGCAGCAACAACGGGCTGCTGTTAGAACAAATGTAAGGATGGCGCAGGACTGGACAGTGATTCCTTCTTTGCACCTAAGGGTCTCTTATGAGCTGGAACCAGCTGGCCGGCAACTAACCACCACCACCACCACCAGTTGCCAAGGCTTCATGATCAAACAAATGAACGAACAATGCAAACGACAAAAGAGTAGGGAATAAGGCAAAGGGAAATGTGGTGAACGCTGATATGCCATACACTCCAGGGGCACATAATCTCCACCTCTTAAATGTGGACAGAACCCGAGTGTACGAAGAGATCAAAGAGTACCATACTGGGAGTATCATAACAACCTATTTATTATTTGACAGTTCTCTGTCGGAAGTCCAGGCACAGCGCAGAGAGCTTCTCTATTCAGGTCTCATACAGCTGAAGTGAACGTGAGACTGCTGTAGCATCCAAGGTCTTTTCAGCTGATTCACATTATTGGCAAAATTCAGTTCCTTGCTGCTGTATGATAAGGTCCTTGTTTTTCTCTTGCTGGCTGATAGATAGGGATACTTCTCAGCTCTTAGAAGACATCCTCAGGTCCCAGCCAATGTGGCCTTCTGATGGCAGGGCAGCTTGCTTCTTCAGGGTCAGTAGGAGGATTTCTCTGAGTCCTTGTATGAGCTCACCTGATTAGGGCAAGTCTACTCAGGGTGAGTCAAAATTGACTCAGTGGCAACTAGTTTGATTTGATTTACCCAGGAAAAATATCCCCTTTGATTATTCAAAGTTAGCTGATCAGGAACCTTAATTATACCTGCAAAATCCTGTCATGATTACCATGTAACATAATCTAATTATATATATTAATTCATCACAAACCAAAGATCTGATGATACTCCCATGATCTGCCTATGCCGTGTATACTCGAGTATAAGCTGACCCGAATATCAGCCAAGGCACCTAATTTCACAACAAAAACTGCATAAAAAAATGTGCTGAAAAACTAGCTTATACATGAGTATATACGGTACCTAAAATAGCAAACTGTGAACATGATGCCATAAATATGACTGTAATAGAATTCTATAATTGGATTTATAATCTTTAACTTTTATATCGTTTTATCTTTTAAAAAGTGCATGTACATATTCTATATCATCTGACTTGCATGATTATCTGTCAGAAGCATACAGAAAATGGAATTCCCTGCCACTGAGTCGATTCTGACTCACAGTGACCTTGTAGGACAGAGTAGACTTGCCCTTGTGCATTTCTGAAACTGTACTTCCTAATAGGAATAGTCTCATCTTTCTCCTTTGGAGTGGCTAGTGGCTTTGGACGGCTGACCTTGTAGTTAGCAACCCAGATCATAGCCCACTAAGCCACCATGGCTCCTACATCAGAGGCATAGAAGGTATTGATTCATCTAGTGCTGCTCGAGAGCAAATAAATAGATTCAGTTGGGCTTCAGGTTCAGGTCAAGGTGTTTTGACTTTTTAACCAAGGCTGTGAGAATGCTTTTAATCTGGTAGTTTTCAAACTGCTAGGCGAAGCCCTGAAGCTCCCAATCAATGCCTCAGGAATGACTGCAGGCTTGCACTGAGGGGGAAGCTAATGAACATAAGGCTAAGCTACTTTTACTTTTATTGTTCTACATGTTTGGTTTGAAAATCACTGCACTGCTACTTGCTGCCCAGTTATATAAAGGATGTTTATAAAAATATGTCTTTCATAAAAATGGTTTATATAGCTACATGTAATAAGCCAAGACTGTATGCCAATAAAGCTTTTAAAAAAATCATAGTGGTGTTATCTCTTGCAGCAGAAGTTGAACCTTAAAAAAGCAAGCAAGGAAAAAGAACCACATTAGGGAGTGGGTTTGAAATGTACACCTAAGGGAACAAAGCCCCCACCCCATGGCATTCACTTTCTAAACGAGTGTAAACTTTTCATACCTTCTTGATGTCTGGTCTTTTATTTTTCTTCTCATGAAGGCACTGACTAGCAACAGAGTACATAGCTTCAACTGAACTGGAATCAACGTCATTCATCTTCATATCAATATAATCTTCAATCACCTTTTCTTCATCTTCGATTTCTTCTTTGATATCTAACTTTAAAATGAGTGTTACAATTTTTGTTAGGAACTTCAAATAAAAGTGAAAGAAGTTAGGATATAAATTTAAGTGATTTAATCTACTTCATGGTAACATGTATTCCCATTTGACAATCTACATGTATAGACTTATTAACTGGAGATCCCCTTGCAGAGGGGTCTCGGAGGAGATGAGCCAGTCAGGGTGCGAGGTAACAATGATGAAAAATACAACTTTCCTCTAGTTCCTAAATGTTTCCTCCCCGCTACCACTACCATGACTCGAATTCGACCTTGCAAGTCTGGCTAGACCAGAGGATGT